AGACTTTGAAAGTAAGTTTATTTCTTGCACTTATTTCCTGGAGGGACAGTAGGTACATCACTCTGGTATTCTAGTGCTACTTGAACATTGGAAATGCTGCTTGAGCATTTGGCCAATGCTCTCAGGCACATGGTGGGACTCCTGGGGTTGTCCTGTGCAGGGCCTGGAGTTGGCCTTCACCATCTGTGTGGGTCCCTTCCGATTCTGGATGTTCTGTGGTTCTATGATTTAAGACAGATTTCTCCACACGCAACTCTATGCAGTAGACATTATTTCCTGCAGCTTGTCTGGCACTTGCTATAGAAAGACTTTGATTGCAATTAAAATTTATGAAGTTTGTTTCAGTTAAAATTTTCTATGGCAAGTTTCTGCCTTGGGCTGACATCGTGGAAAACGGTTTGCTGGGACAGTTCAGTGTTCTCAGTTCTTCAATATCACAGAATCCTAGAATAGTTTGAATAGAGTGAACCTTAAAGCTCATCTTGTTCCACCCCCTGCCATGGGCAGGGGCACCTTCCACTAGACCAGGTTGCTCTAAGCCACATCCCCAACCTGGCCTGGAACACTTCCAGGGATGGAGCAGCCAAAGATTCTCTGAACAACCTGTGCCAGTGCCTCAGCACCCTCACAGGGAAGAATTTGTTCCTAGTATAAATCTAAATCTCTCCTCTTGCAGTTTAAAACTATTCCCCCTTATCCTATCACTATCTGCCTGTGTGGAAAAGTTACTCTCCCCGTTTTCTATAAGCCCCTTTAAGTGTGGAAGGGCCATGGTTTGAATCTAGTATAGATCTAGGCCTAGTTTAAATTTCAGCATCTGAGCAAGGCAAGAGGGCTCTGCTGGCTCTGACCCCTACAAGCCTAGAGGGGGAAGGACCAGGCATCATCTTCAAACAGATAATGGGTAGGAGGAGTGTGAAAAGAATAAAGAAGGCAGAAAAGTTTATTGAAATAGGATGTGTGACAGGGAAGGGGGAAAGAGGAATGACTTCTAAATCTCGCTCAGGGTTCAAAGTCTGGATTGTGACTTCCCCATCCACCTTGCCAGAGTGAAGATGAGTGGCCTGAGGGATCTAAAGGACCTGACAACAGGGAATTCAAAGCCGAGGGGATGTGGAATCAGGCTGTGTGGGAAGGGAACAGTAACTGTGATGACAAGCTCTGAGTAGCAGCAAGAGGAAGAGCTGATTTAGCCTGGCCTGAAGGACCTTGGGAAGGAGCTCGGAAGGAGCCTGGATTTTGCAAGAGAGTAGGATGCAGTGAAGAGAGTAAGACTGAAGCAGGATAATATAATTCTTTTGCTTGAAGAAGTTATCTTGGCACTTCTTGTTCAGACTAGCTAACCAAGCTATTTTGCTTGTCAGGATGACAAATAATGTGAACTCAGAGCTCAGTCCCTGCTGCCACTTCATTGTTAGCATTAATCAATTAGCCTGAATCACTTTGTCAGATTTCAGATCGTTATCCCAGCCCTCCCTGTGTGTTTCCTGGGTGCCTGGTTCCATTCACATGATTGATTTTAGCTGTCCTCACAGCTAAGTTGTGTGTGAATTTAGATGTGAAGTGTTCATCAGAGGTACTGAGGTGAAATGAAGCATCCCTTCAGGATTTAGGAGAGAGGAATGTTCAATATGTCCATCATGGTTTAGCTCCAAATTGCTGATGCTTAAGAGAAGAATTGGCCATCACTGAAGGCACTGACTCTATGTGCCATGTACTGTGGTTGGGCAGCCTTGTGATTCCACCTTCAAACTCACTGTAAAGCAATGATGCATAACCCAGACTTAGTAGCTATCTAACCAGAATGAGTAAAAGCCTTGTTAAATCAAATGCCTAGTTCCTACCAAGAGGTTCCTCTGGAGAGTAACTGGATGATGGTTCCATTCAAGGTGCACACACCCCTTGGCTCTTTCATAGACTCATGGTACATTAAGATCTCTAAGATCACCGAGTCCAACAGTCAATGTGGCACCACCACCATGTTCACCACTAAACCAAGTCCTCATGTGCCACATCCACACATTTTTTTTAACTCTTCCAGGGATGCTGACTCCACCACTTCCCTAAGCATTCTTTTCCAGTGCTTGACAACCCCTTCAATGAAGGATTTTTAAACTAATATCCAGTCTAAACCTCCTTTGGTGCAACTTGGGGCTGTTTCCTCTTGACCTGACTTTTATTTATCAGTGTTACTCGTGTCCTGAGACATTTGTGCCTGATTCTTGCTCATTTGTGGGTGAAGCCATTTATTCAAGGACTAATGACACAGCCCAAATGACACAGCAGGTTCCATGCCATGGGTGTCTGTTCTTGCCATGCTTCCAGCTCTCTGGTGTTGGCCAGGAAAGGCTCCTTTTCTCATCTTCTGTGTCTGCTGCATGATGACAGGAATCAGCTTTAGCAGAGGAGAAATAAAATTGTTTCATGCTTTGTGATGTAAAACATGCACTTTAGCTGACCCTTCTTTAGAAAGTCACTTTGATCTAGCTGGTAAGAAAAAACACCTTGCTTTTCTCACAGACCTGCTCTCCCATTGACAGGAGGACTGTGCACATGGCATTGATAACTCCCAAGTTTTTTTGTTCCCATGAAACTGTCTCTTAGCTAATAGTTATTCTGTCTTTCCAGTGCCTGATGATAACTTGCAGCGACTCCTTTCATACAATTTGCTGTAGGCAGCTTATTTTGGGTGCTGTGTTCTCAGTGAACAGCACCAGTGATGCAAATGAAGTCAAAGTCTCCTATTCTGGCCTTTGCAACAGGAGGGCTAATGGTCCTTCCCTCATGATTTCAACAGGTTGTTTTCTTGCTATTAATCTGTGTACAACATTGCTATGTGAGAAATCTCCAAGTGGCTACTTGGAGACTTTGAGTAACATTGGAGTTCCATGAAAATTTGGCAGATGGTGATGTCTGTTCTTCAGTCTCTGTGGGGCTTTTCATAGCCCTCTGTCATTAGATGGATGAGGTTTTAAAGATTGCCACTGCTGAGGTATATAAGTAATAAAAATATTGCTCTGGACCACGGGTTTCTGTTTTCTAAACTTGCTACCTCTAGGCTTTCTTACTGAGTAGCAGGTTCTAGTAACAGTCACACTTCAGGTGGTCACCTCTCTCTCTCTGCCTCCCCAGTCCATCAATGTGGCCATCAAAAGTAAGATTCCCTGTGTCGTGGTGGAAGGCTCTGGCCGGATTGCTGATGTCATTGCTAGCTTGATGGAGGCAGAAGGCACTCTTGCCTCTTCATGTGTCAAGGAGAGCTTGCTCAGGTACCTGCCTCGCACAATTTCAAGGCTCTCGGAAGAGGAGACTGAAAGCTGGATCAAATGGGTAAGGGAGCTGAAAGCGGGAGAAGGGTAGAGGGAACAACTAGCGACTTCCAAATCAGGGATGTTGCTGCCTCGTGATACCTATGGGATGTGCAAGGCTCCTTGCCCATGTTATATCTGTGTGGATTTAAAAAAGGAAAATTCCAAACTCCATTAGGGATTGGAACAAAAGGAGTTTTGGGGGTGCAGTCTTTGGGAAAGCCAGCACATATGTAGTCATAGGAGAGCTAAGACCAGATGTTTTGTGTCTGTCTGCTCCTGGACGCTTAGGATTCCTCTGAAGCACTGACTGCTGAATGTCTCTTGCCTGATGAGCTGGTTGATGCTGCAGTTCCTCTGTGTGCCTTGTGAAAGTGGAGA